AGAAGCTTAAGCCACTTCCTCATGAGTTCGATCCCCGCCTGCCCTGGAGGTGACCACATGGCGTGGCAGACCTCTCCTGACCCGCCCACTACTCCCCTCAGCAGTGTACTTCGTCGATCTGCCTGTTTTGCTCCCCACTCTGTCTCTGGTGAATCCTCTCACCCTCCACATCTATGGCCTGTACCCCAGTTCTATATGAATAAATAAATCTTAGAGAAAAAATAAAAGGAAATAGATTCAAGAAAGAGCTTACTAAGGAGAAAGGGAACAAAAACAAAATGGAACTTCCAGGCCCAGGGAGGCAGGCCTAGGAGCATAGAGAAGCTGGTACAGACTCGGCTTCAGGGGATATGTACTCTCTTCCCCACATTATTCTAAAGCCCCCTTCATGATTGGTTAGTTCTTGGGGGTCTCACTCAATCTGACTTAACTGCTGCTGAGCCTGGAATTTCCTTGCTTCACAGTCCCTCATCTTAGAGTCCTCTTTTTATTGCCCTTGTCCAGGAATGTCCTACTGCCCATATCTCCAGAGCTTCCCTCATTGCTTCAAGGCTTTTTTCTACGCTATTCTGACCCAAGAAGTTACACACTCCCTATGGCTCAATTAGCATGCTATTTATGACATGTGCCCTTAGGATCAACATCTGTGGCAGAGAGGACAAGAAAGCAAGAATGGGCAGAACAGTAAATCAAAAAGCAATGACAGCCCAAGAAAACCATGGCTGATCCCACAGGACTGTTGTGGATTTGAAATGGCCCTTTAGAATTTTCCTGAGCTGTCCAGACTGACACACAAATGCCTCGAGTAATGGGAGTATAAGCTGTTACAGCCATTCTAGAGAACAATTTAGCAGTATTTAGTTGAACTGAGTAAGCATGTGTCCTATGACTTGCCACTATTATTAATATGTGCTTCAGAGCAACTTTTGCATAGGTTCATACGGAGAAATGATATGGCACAGAATACGGTTGGATACATACATCAGTCCTAGTCAGAGTTAGAAATAATGAGCCAAATGATGATGGTGATAGCAACAACAGTAAGTCATTACTGATAATAAATTAGGTAATGATAATCATACTAGGATGGCATCATACTAGGTGACATTGGTTGACCAGCTACTGTTATCTGGTCCTTGGTGTATCTGCATCATCTTTATTTCACCCCCCGTTTTCCATTTTGGCATGCTAAGTGTGAAATATGGAGAATTGAAGTAATTTGCACAAGATCACAGAACTAAAAAATGAAAGAGCCAGCTATTCAGAATAATAATTCTAGCTTTGAAAGGTCATGTTTTAAGCACTACCCCAAGCAAGAATCTTTGAGGTAAAATGTTGAGTGAGGGGAAGACACAAAAACATTGATTCAAAAAGATACCTGCACCCCCATGTTTATTGCTGCTTTATTTACAATTGGAAAGACATGGAAACAGCCCAAATGCCCAAAAGTGGATAGCTGGATTAAAAAGATGTGGTACATATACACAATGGAATATTACTCAGCAACAAAAAATGAACACATGCCTTTGCAGCAACATGGATGGAGCTGGAAAAGATCATGCTTAGCGAAATAAGCCAGAAAGAAAAGGAAAAATACCGAATGGTTTCACTCATAGCAGGACTTTAACGGACCAGATGAGAAAATAATAATAATAATGAACAGCTATATACCAGAGACATTTTATGGGGTTGGAGTGGGGAATGGGATCAAAAACAGTGGGGGGAGGGAAATGCACTGGACTATGGTGATGGCACATGGGTGATTTGCTGATAGGAAGTCCAAGGGGATTGCAACTGAGATGGAAAAATGCACAAAATGATGTAAACATAAACTATTATATTATTTATATTAGTCATTAAAAAAATAATGTAGTAGTAGACAGCATAGTACAACAAACAATATTGGGATAATTTATTGATATAACCTATGCCAGAAAAGCTAGCAGGGCAATTAGAGGCTCACACAGTTTTAAAATGAAGTCAAAAGGTCAACTAAGCTTTTCTTTCAGTAAATATTATTTTATGCTTGATATTCTTTTTATAGCAAGGATTCAAGTCATTATTGCTAGAATGATCAATCAGATATTCCCAATTTAGATCCTCACAAATGCACTTCATTAGGCTCTCAAGAATCACAAGAACACATTAAGAATATAGAGTTACCATACTAAACAGCATCTCATTAAGAATTGCAAATTACTATAACCCCAAAATTAAAAATGGCATATTTCCAGATCTTTCTCTTGAAAAACTTTATTAACTGTGATAGAAAGAATGCAGACTTGAGTAAAAGCTTTTTTCTCTTAAGGTTAAGGGTACAATCTGATTTTCATCATTATTTTTCAGCCTTAATGTAAGAACCCAGTAATGGGCTACCTAACAAGATAGATTACAGATATTCAGACAAAATGATGGCTTCTTGGATATTGGGGGGAAACAAAAATAAACATAAAACAATAGCTAACGAAGAAAGAAAATGTATATGATATTTGGTGTCCATGGAAGCATATGTTAATAAAACTTGTAATTTAAAAAAAATGTTGAGTGGGGTAAAACAAGTAGGAAATAGAACAAGACCTAGTACCTAATGCTTTTTATGCAGCTATAAAGCACAATGAATTATAAATTACCATCATATAACTTTGGACACTTTAGAGGAACAGCTTTTGGTTTGTTACTGTCTCACTATGTGGACTGAATGCTCCCCACCACCAGAATTTTACTGGCTTATTCGTTAATATCAAATAATGACATCAGAATTCATGATTATCTAAGTTACAAGATCTCTAAGCCTCACATATGCAGTCTCTGACCTCCATACTCCCACTCCACAAACAAGATTCATATCCCTTGAATGAAACTAGAAACTTACACACAATCCCCCAGTTGATAAACAGAAGAGAAAGGCTAAAATCCTTGCAGAGTCTTTGCCCCTAACCACTAAACAAAGAAAAGCCGGTAGTTGAGAGACTACTAAGTGACTCTCGATTACACCAACAAGATTATAGTCATGCTTTTCCCTCACTATCTAGCATTCTCTGGTGCTGCAGAAACCTACTTTATAAATGACATGAACAAACGTGGATTATTATTTATTCAATATGCTAACTTACTTTCAAAACTTAAGCCAAAGTAACTTATTCTTTGGTTGCAGAAATTATTTATGTGGAAATCACTAGGTGTTGATAAGGAGGTAAGCCTGGAGCAGTGTACCGGAGGCCGGCGGGCCCATAGTTGGGGGAATCTGCTTCCCTGGGAGGGGGACAGGAGTGGGGACGGACCAGGACCCGGCACCCTCACAGGAGGAAGCCGCGTGGGAGACTGTGGGAAACCTTGGCCACAACAGGTACGCACCACACTGTGAGCGATTCCAAATTCCCGGTTTTCCCATAAATATAATTTACTTCATACCACACCAGTTTACTGGGTCCTGGACGACAGGGTTTTGACCCAGCCAAGTACTGCCTGCCTGCGGTTGCTCGTCCTGAGTTGAGCCCTAAGCACCTCAAGGTGCAGGGGGAAGGGAGCCAGGAACCCAGGTCTTCGGGACTGAGGGTAAAATTTATGGTGGGGGGTCAGGAGGGAGGAAATGGGGGTTACCGGAGCTTGTCCTTGGGACCCGCGAGAACTGGGGCCAAGGAGCACCCACTTGGTTGGAGGGAGAAAGAGGCCCCCAAGAAAGGGGGCAGGAGGAAGGCAGGAAAGAAATTGGGGTCGTTCCCAATTATGGGGATGGTTAAAGCTGGGTCTCGAAGTTTCTAATTAAGAAACTGACTGATGAGCACTAAATCACCAAATTGTCGTCTAGTTTCTCCTGGATAGTGAGACCCACACCCACTGAAAAGGGAGGAAACTGCAGGAGGGCAACGAAGAGGACTAGACATGAATTGGATGAACAAAGGGTTAGCATGCAGTGACAGTGCACGTTATTTTAGTAACATGATATTTAGTAATATCGCATGTAGTGCAATAGTAGTGAAGAATTTATAGGGAAATACTCTTTAGAGGAAAGGAGTTGAAAGAAAAGCAATGCATTTTATTAAGGAAAACAGTTCTGAAGAAAAAAAAAAACTCTAGTTAAGCCTGTTTTATTAAAAAATATTAGGAACTGGCCCTTCCTGGTGGCGCCACCAGTTAAAGCCACTTCAGCATGAGTTCGATCCCCACCCCAGAAGAGATCCACATGGCACAGCAGACCTCTCCTGACCCTCCTTCTGCCCCCCTCAGCAGTGTACTTCATCAGACAGCCTAGCCTGTTCTGCTTCCCCACTCTGTCTCTGGTGAATCCTCTCACCGCCCCTGCAAATTTGGCCTATACCCCAGAATGTATGCATAAATAAATAAGTCTTTAAAAATACATACTTTTTAAATAATATAAAAAAGCTAAAAAGCAATAAATAAATAAATTAACCAAAAGTTTGAAAGGAGAATTTTTGCATTAATTACTTCAGATTATCCCACAGTCTGTTAAAAAAATAATAGCGCATCAAGTAGTGATGGTTTTTAAATATTACCCAAAAGAAATTTTGCTGTATTTCTTATAGGATTCTCTGAGACTTTTTCTCCTGTCTTAAGGTTAGAGTTTTAACTAACAAATTTTATATAGCATTTTACTCTTTTGATGTGATACAGTGGAGAGTAATTTAACTGGAAATTACAGCTAAAATTCTTGCTGATTTAAACTACTATTAGTTGTTAATATAATGTAAATAAAAGAAAAATGGAATTTCTTCATGAAATAATGAAGTGTCAAGCAATGTCTGTCTTGATATCACATTTTATTTATTATTCTTAAAGATTTATTTATTTATGCATTCAGAACTGAGGTACAGGCTAGAGGTGCAGGGGCAGTGAGAGGACTCACCAACAACAGATTGGGAAGCTTAACAGGCAGATCAACAAGTACACTGCTAAGGGGAGCAGTGGCCAAGAGGGAGAGGTCTGCTCAACCCTGTGGGTTAGCTCCCTGGCCAGGAATGGAACTCTGAAGCAGCTGTGGCAAGCTTGGAAGTGTTGCACTTTAACCCCTTGAGTCACCAGGACGGGCCTGGTGTCTCACTGTAAGCAATAATATGTGCCTCCACTCCCCAAAATTAGTTTGAATAATTACTTTAAGAATTTTCCTTACCTTTGACTTTAGTAGTTTCCACTGCCAGTTTCATAAAACCAGGCCCTAGACATGCTCTTTCCTCGGTCTAGCATACCTGAACTTCAATTTGTATTTTCTCCTTCCTCTTATGTTAGAGAAAAGTCTAAAGACAAGTGTCTCACACTTTTATATTTTATTAATCCTGATTCATTTAGACACCTTCCTACCCCCCAAATATCAATGCAGGCTGATTTGCAAAAATCAGCTTCTTTATCCTGACCTCTGGAATTTTGCAGAATTGATTAATTCCATAGAGCTAAAACAGAAACTCTTAATTCTGTTCTTCAGCTGTTAGCTGGCTATACCCAAAAGTTATTCTTACACAAAATGAAAAACCAGAGATACTGAGTGACTGACTTAAGCAGATTAATTTCCGTATGTTCTTTATCAAATAAGTTACTAAATAAAATACAAAAAGTAAGTGTGTTCATCTACTTGGGCTGCTATAACAAAATGGCATGAGTCCAGTAGCTTATGCTTATTTCCTTAGGTCTCTCTTTTGGGTCCAGATGGCCACCTTCTCACCATGTGTTCACATGCCTCACCACAAGCATATGGAAAAATAGACCAAGAGCTCTCTCTTCTTTTTGTAAAAACACACTTTCATTTTTTTTAAGTGAGGCAACATTGCATTGTGACATATAAGTTTCAGGTGTGCATCATTGAACATCAATATGGGGGCCTTCCCTGGGGGTGCAACAGGTTAAAGAGCAGCACCACGAAGCTGCTTCAGCTTGAGTTCCATCCCTGGCCAGGGAGGTGACCCACATGGTGTAGCTGTCTCTCCTGTCTCGGCCCCTGCTCCCCTCAGCAGTGTACTTGTCAATCTGCCTGCTCTACTCACCACTCTGTCTCTGAGGAATCCTTTCTCTGTCTCTGCACCTCTGGCCAGTATATAAAAAAAAAAAAAATAAGTAAATAAAAACATCTTTAAAAAAAAAAAGAAAATCAATATGTGCACAAACTATACTATGTTCTCCACTAAAAGGCCTATTCCATCCCTTACCATTCAGTGGTCTGTGTCCACACTTACCCACCCCTATGTTCCTTCCCTTCTCAGACCACAGTCTTATGAGCAACGTCAAGCTACCCTTGTGCCCTCATTTATTGGAATAGGACTTCACTCTTAACGTAGTTATCTTTTGAAACCTGTATCTCCAAAATACAGTCATATTTAAATGTTAAGGCTTCAACATATACATTGAAGGAAATACCATTCAGTCCATAGCAATAAGTACACTATGAGAAAATTCAGCAAAAAATGTTTGTGACATGATAAGTAAATATTTCTTAAATTGAAATCGATAATACCTGTAGTTAAAAGTCATGCTTCAGATTTAATAATATATCAGCCATTCTGATATGAAGAAGATGATTGTTGAACAATGACATAGTTTTTTATATAATAGGAACAAATAATTTCTACATATGCACATATCATTACACTATTTTTAGGCTTGTTTAGAGAATACCTTATAGAGTAGGAGTGAAAAGGCATGGTGAAGCCTTAATGTATGTGATTGTTGTTAATAATAAGTATTACAAAATTTCTATGCATCCAGTAAAACTATTCTGGGTACTCTGTGACTGGACTACAGAAATTTTAGTATTTGAATTATCATTATTATGGTGCTTTAAATCTTATTAATTAATTAGTGTATTTATTTTTTTAACACTCTTCTTTTTATCAGGCATGGATGAAAGAGACAACGGATGTATGAAAAAGATTAGTAGTGTGAATCTTGACAAACTTATAAGTGACTTTTCTCAGATAGAAGAGGTATGTAAAGATATCCATATGTTCTTAGTACATAAGGAAAAGTAGAACAGATTTCACTAAGCTCTTTGTCATTTTTATATTTGATTTTGAATAATTTATGCTAGCAACAAAGTTCTCTAGGGCACAGGAACAATAATTGAAATGCTTTTACTAAAGTTAATGGGAAAATACATACTTAAATTTACAGACTATAAATTTAGGAATGGTCTAATAAGAACTGAAATAAACATGATGCTCAGTAGCTCACCATCTAGCTAACTTTAATTTTCTTTTTAGTCTTTCCTAGTCTCTCTTATTCTATCAATTCCATTTTCTTCTCTTTTGTCTGTAAAAAGGCCCATTTGAAGTGTCCCTACTAACTCTCAACAAATTGCATGATAGACCAAATTCTCCCCTCTCCTGGGAAGAGTAGGAGGAACTATTGAGAAAACATAGGTGAAAAAATTAAAGATTTGTAGAGTGCACCTGTTTTCTGTCCTTTCCTCATTATGTTTCTCTTCCTTCTTTTCCTCTTTATAATGAAATATTGTCACATAGAAGAATTGTCATGATGGGTATTTTGAATTAACATTATGAGCTGTTTTTTGTTTTGTTTTGTTTTGTTTTAAGATTTCTTGATGCATATAGAATTGGGGTACAAGCCAGAAGTGCAGGGGCGGTGAGAGCCTTCACCAGAGATAAAGGGGGGAGCAGAAGAGGCAGATCAACGAGGTACACTGATGAGGAGAGCAGCAGGAGGAGTCAGGAGAGGTCTGCTGGGCCATGTGGGTCACCTCTGGGCTGGGGATCGAACTTGTTACTGAAGGGGCTGGGCTAGCTTGCAGTACTGTGCTTTACCTGCTGCACCACTAGGGAGGGCCCATGAGCTGTTGTTAAACAGTGAATTTGGACTTTCTTATCCAGTTTTACTTGCCTTAGTAAGAGAGAATTGTGCAAAAAACTTGAAAGTTTTAAAATCTCTCATGTTCTTAAACATTTAAATAAGAAATTGTTCATTTTTTATATAATCATATTTTAAGTGTTTTAACTTTAGAGATCATATAGATGGTAGTGCTCATGAAATAAAATGTTGAACTTTAAACACCAAATTCTAAAATGTCAGGGAGTTACTTTGAGGTAAATTCAGAAGTGTTGAGAATAAGGAAGTGGGTAGAGTTATAGCTAATAGAAGACTGGTCATGAGTTGAAGATTTTTGAAATGTTTGAAGGGTACTAGTGGCCACTATAACAGTAACACAGATACATAAGAATATATTCAAGAATGCTTATTCATTTTCTATAATAGCAAAAAGAAAAAGTGGAAACAACACATATTCCCTTCACTAGTGGACTATTTAAATAAATTACAATATATACTTACATGGCATTAAATATAATATGTGCTTACATGACATCATCTCCAGAATAGCAAGTGGGACATCCAAGATTCAGGACAGAGTATAATGTGATCCTTTTCTATAATAGTATAGTTATAAAATATGTGCAGAACATAAGTCAGAAATTGTTATCCATAGGACTGAAGTTTGAATAGTTGGAAACAAAGTTCAAGTTAGGTCAGATTTTTACTTTTCATTTGCAACTATTGGTCTATTTTACTTTTTCACCATGTTGCTTTTAAAATTGAAAATAAATTAGGAAGTTGACTTACTTAAAAATATATGCCAAACTCAATTATGAAAAGTTAAGAGGTTTGTATTCATTAGTGTTCATGTTCTTAGGAAAAACACCAAAATAGTAGCATTGACTTGGTAATAATACATATTCTGTTTATTCCACAGAAAATCATGGAAACCAGTGGAAAGTACAACATACTAGATATTCAGTTGGAAAAGGCTAACTGCTTATTAAAAGTAATGCAAACAAAGGAGGCCTCATTTAAAGAAGGTTAGTTCTTTGCTACCTGAAGAAATACTAAGTCTAAGAGAGTGTTTTTTGGTATCATACTTTCATAAAACATTTTAAATTCACATAGAACTTTCCAGACTTCCATTTCATTGTATTCTTACTATAGCCCTGGATGCAGGCAGGACTGGTTTCAGTAATGAAGAAACATAGGCTGAAAGAAGTTGAATCATGAAGCCTCTCAGATAAGAAATGGTAATTCCAGAACTCAATCCAGGCTTTTAAGACCAAAAAAAAAAAAAAAAACCATATACACACACACACATACACACACATACACACATACAGTTAAATCCCTATCTCACAATGGCACAAAAGGAATTTAATAGTGGACAAAATTTTCAGTATTAAAAATTTGGTGTACTAGTCCTAAGGTCTCTCCCATTTCTCAAGACACCTACATCCTATGTACTGCTTCTCTGCCAGGATCTTGACAATAAAGCGCTGTTGTCCCATGGGCCACCTCTATCTAAGGCAGTCGCAGCACTGCCTACTGTGACACTTTCATCCGTCACAGTGGTTCCTCTAAACTTGAATGGAGAAATATCTGATGTCCAGGAAATACCCAGTTAGGAGTCCTGGTCCTATCCACATCAACCCCTGCTCTTCCAGAACCAGGATCCCTGGTCTAGTAGTGTGCTGGTGTTAGAGGGAGAAAAAGCCACGTGCGTTTATTTATTATCAACTGAGAGGGCAAGTAATCAAAATACACAAATAGCAATGAGCACACAAAAAAATAGTATTGGGTTATAACTCATAGTATATAATAAATATGGATGAATCCATACTGATAAAAATAAATGTTTGAATAAATCAACAAAGAAGAGACAAAACTCCTCTACAGAAGGATTTCAAAATAATATACATGGATGTCATTTGTCCTCAGGTAGGTAATTCATAACACCCCACTATAAGTGTGGATTGTGTAGTGACTTTCTTCATTATGGAAAAGGGGTGGTGGAGAGGAACTATACAGTGGAAAAACCTGATATGTTACCTAAGGTAAATGATCAGGGTTAACTTGATGTCATGTTTATAAGTATGCAGCTATAATGTGATGAAAATAGCATTTTACCTCTGTAGTCTTTCTGCCAAAAAAAAAAAAAAA